CATAACGACGTTCAATTCAAAAAACCTCTCAATATCTAAACGCTAATTCACATAAAAGCGTTCCTAATGAGATTAAACCTAATATCACGATACGCGAAGTAACCTAATTAACTACACAAATTAAAACAATAGTATAGAAATACGCCTCGTTACTTCAGCTAAAAACTAAAAGCACAAAATCATGCAAGAGATTCAACAACGTTATCGTTTATAAATGTAGTTAGTAAGTCAAGCTCGAGGTTAGCCTCGTATTCAAATCAAGGACCATTCACTAAAATTTCCTTAAATTTTTACTTGGTCATAATTCAAAAAGCGCATGCTCTTGTGATGAAAAATATCGATTACGAAGGAGACTGTCAGTTTGGCGAGAAAAATCTCCTTAGTATGTCTTCAGTAACAAGAATCAAAATTAGGAGATTTGAAAACCTGCTTCGTCCATCGATGATCCAAGGACGACTTAACCACTGCATTTTTCTTTTGATAAACAAAGGAAAGACTGATGAGATAAACCTAATGAAAGTTGCAAATTAATTTTGCTATGGCCAGCGGTGGCGCTAGAAATTCTCCGACGGAGGGGCTTGACCTTCCGACAGGGGGGCAAGGCAATCGGAGTGAAAACATGGAATCCCAGACGCACAAACATTGAGATTATGACAGGAAATGAATTCAACAAACAAGAAAGAGCAGCTCTTTGGAGCGGGATTATTTTTTTGTAGAGAACTCGCTTTTTTAACAAAATGTCCCTAAAAGAAGAAAGACATTAAGAAAGTTCTTTGTGGATCTTTTCCCGTGATTTTTCTATATTCTCAACGTTCTCAAACCTGGAACAATTTTTCTACCTTTACAATACAATGTTATTCTTAGAATTAATATTCACAGGTGGAACTCTAATCTTGTCATTCGCTCACCCAACCCTGAAACATTGTATTTTTTGCTGCCGTTAAATTTTTGCAGTTGAAATTTTTAACGTGCCAAGGAGTGAAGAGGATCAAATCGCAATTAAAATATAAACAATTAAATATACCATTGATTATCATTGATTGTTTAATTAATGCCACCGCCGAGTTTGCCAAGTAAAAGTTAAGAAAAGATTCAGAACTCTTGGGGGAGGGGGGGTGTCACCAATGTTTCCCAAAGAGTGGGTTATTAGATCTCCAATATTTTTATGTCTCTTTAATGCTTTTAATATATTTTACTTATATTGATAATTCGATTGCCGTTTGGTATGCCGAAAGAGAGGGTCGAGTTTCCTGATATGGTGTGTAAATTACTTGGGAGTTAGCTGTTTGTACATTTATACTCAGTGGGATTTCCGTAATCGTAACCGTTACTCCATCTTTTTCTTAAAAGTTTTACAAATGGTAGCTAAATCTTGCTCCGACAAAATTATAGATTTTCTTCGTATATCTTCCGACCAATGGCGGCGCCAGCCACTAAGCTCTGGGGGGGACAAACCAAAAAATTTTAGGCCACGCCCCTTTAACAACCAGAAAATGCCCTTTTACCAACAGAAAACGCCAATTTTATCCGAAGGGAACGCCTATGACTAACTTTTGTTTGAAAACTTGCAGTTTGAAAATCATAGGATTACATCACAAAAAGTACGGTGTCAAAATATTACCCCTCTCCCAACATTTTCTAATCGAATTTAGACGAACTACAAAATCGATTCTCCTGAGAACTGGGGGGGACACGTCCCCCCCAGTCCCCCCCGTGGCGCCGCTACTGCTTCCGACGGGTGGGCTAAGCAGCTCTGACGGGGGACTGTAGCTCCCCTCCCCCCCCTCTGGCACCACCACTGGCTATGGCAGTGAAGAACGTACTCACACCATCGTCCAATCACATGAGGATGACTTAATCTAAAATTTTGTAGCTTTTATAAAATATTTCATGAAAGCAAAATAATTCAAGTGGCGTAGGGGTGGGAAAGCGCGAAAACGAAGTGGTACTGGAATTCGCTTTGAAGTAGTTAGAGACAAAAAGTTCGAAAATTCCTTTCAGTTCTTTACATCATGTTTCGCGTTTAACTTCCAAAAGTTTTTATTAATTTTGTATTTATGATTGCATCAATAGGAATTAATTGGCATCTTGCAATAAATCCAAACATTTGTTGAGTATAATGCACCTGCCACAAGTTTGGGGAGAGGATGTGTGCCTGCCGCTTAGCCAGGGCGAAATCAACTTACCATGCAAATTATACGAAAAATAAGTACAACGTATTGTTATAAAAATATGAAACATATATGGAAGGGAGATTTCCACCCTCAAAAACTTCAAAGCCCATGACATACACATAAGGAGTTTTACAATTAAGTATGATCAAGAGTGCGTAGTCCCTAAATGAAGTACATAGCCATGTCTGCTTTCAACGAAAATAGTTCTCATCATGTACTGTGTGTTTCATTGTTTTTTACAAATGTCTAAATTACCATAAAAGCTGTACCATTGTTGGCACTTGTTCGGAAAAAAATGTTTGCCCCATTTCATTCGTCTTGGCCCCCCTGTTCAAACCTGCGTCCGGCGGCCTTGGAGCAATACCTAAGGTAAGATCACAAGTTTACAATTGCCTCTCTCATGACCTAATCTTAGTTATTCAATAAAATTTTGTTAGTGAACACTTTCGAAAACAAATGGGTACGTATGTTTTCTAGCGTAGAGTTTTCGATCTATGTTCTGATGCTTTTTAAACTTGAAGAGTGTCAGACGAAAAACTTTAGAGTATACTCAAATGTTTGTGTTTTTCAAAGCCATTTTGGAAAACCTATATTAAGGAGGGTGTCCCACATGACTCAATTATTAGGCCAAACTTCCTTGCATTTTACAGAGAGTCTTTTCGTTTTCCTTGTTTCACTCTCCTTCTTGTTTTCTGCTTGCCTGGTCTTTTTGCGATTTGCTACTGAGCTCTTTGCAATCGATTCAGGGAATTTCCTTTTCAAGGTAAGGGCATTGTGATTCGTACAACAGGGCCCGCGCCACGAATTTGAAAGTGGGGAGTGGGGGCAAAACTAAAAATGCAGGGGGCCAAGGCTTCTTATACTACTTGCTTCGCAAAAAAGTGGGAGGCCATGGCCACCCAGGCCTCCCAGGTGGTGCAGGCCCTGTGCAACAGTCAGTAACGATGGTGACAGTGAAGAGGGAGATGATGACAGCGATGATGAAAGTGAAAATAGCGATTATGGCTTTGCTCCTGAGAGTATCTTCATAAAAACAAAAGGTGGTCGTGTCTACAATCGAGTACCACAAACTACAACAGAGTTCGTTTCATGTAGATACATATTCAGTTACAATAGACCAGCGTGAATTAGTGTAAATAATGGCTCAAGATAGATATTTATGATGAAAACATACAAACAAAATGAAACATCTAGATAACTAAATGCTGAAAAAATAAACCATGAAGTTTTGACATGGGCCACGAAAATTATTTACCTTTTCACAATGGGCCATGGAATTTTTCTGTCCCTTCTTTTAGGGGCGATGAAAATTCATGAATACAGCAAATTTTCTGGATAAAACCACATATCCTCCACCCCCCTGTCGTGTATACTTTATAATGCATTCCTAATCAGATAAAGAACAGCTTATCAACCATAGAAATGTTATCAACTAACACCAACACTAATTTTTCATCAGAGCGCCTAATTTTGAAGCAGCCTCCTGTTCATTTTCAGGTGCAAATCGATAACACGATAGGGCCTAGGAAGTGTGCTAGAGGTCAGAAAGTCGAGACTTTGAGACATGCATTGCTCGATAGTTATATTGGAATTAGGCAGGTATATTTACTAGCACATGCTTGGAATATAACTTAGTGAAAGCAGCTATATCTTTAAAAGTGGAGAACAAGGAAGACACAGAGTTGCGCAACGAAGGCAAAGCAAAAATGCGTCTAAGAAACAGAGACTTGGACGTTCAAGGCCTTGATTCTGAAATGCAAGAAGTTGACTCCATGCATAATACATTAGAACACGAATCTTTGACGGGAGAACACAGAAGAGATCGAAGTGACAAAGGAAATATTCTCCTACTCGTTTTTCTGTATGTTTTACAAGGAATACCTTTGGGCCTCGCTGGGAGCATGCCGATGGTTTTACAAAACAAAAGGATCTCCTACAAGCAACAGGCAGTCTTCAGCTTTGTATTTTGGCCATTCAGCTTGAAGCTTCTTTGGGCCCCTATTGTTGATTCTATATACCTCAAGTCGTTTGGGAGGAGAAAAACATGGCTAGTCCCAACACAGTATTTAATTGGGTTGTTTATGCTAGCACTCTCACTGGTTAGTGGATACCTTGTAATTTAAATAGTATACAATACTTGTTAATGTATAATATAGATGACATATTTTTCAGTCATTTTAAGTATAAATTGAGTCTCAATCAAATGGAAACTCAGTAGTTGGAAAATAATGTTTGATTCAACTGACTAGTATGGTTGTCTCAGTATAAAAAGAAAGAAGATTCTAGTATGTTATCAAAGCAAATAAAAAAAATAAATAAAAAAAATAAATCAATCAGTGTTTCATGCCAGCTGTTTAGAGCTGACAAAATCTTTAAGGTGCAATTGGCTATTGGTGGCACAGTGGTTAGGATTGCAGACTACAGGATGCCTCAATGGTTTGATTCCATGGCATGGCAAAACTTGCAATCAGGGTTAGGGATGTTGCCAGCTCTCTTCAATTCCAGGCATAGGAATCACAAGGTGTGGTCATATTGAGAACTCTGCTCTAAAAGAACAGCCTCTAGGTGTTCTCAAAACTACCTTTGGGTAGTAACAAATGCAAAAACAAATTATTGGGTTTGTGATTGAAGTTTGGAGTCACTATCCAACCTCTTTGTCCCTATTTGATGTTGTTAAATTGTATTTTAAACTAAGTATCGCCTCGTGTGTTATATTTTGTGATATTTATCAAAATTGTTCCCCTGTTCTTATTTTTTAGAGAGTTCATAGCTACTTGGATTCTGAAATCCCACAAGTCACAATTTTGACTGCATTATTCTTTGCCCTCAATTTTCTTGCTGCAACTCAAGATATCGCTGTTGATGGCTGGGCATTAACAATGCTCTCAAAGGAAAACAGAGGCTATGCTTCAACTTGCAATACTGTTGGTCAAACTGCTGGATATTTCATCGGGAATGTGGTATTCCTGGCACTCAATTCACCAAGTTTTAGTAACCAATATTTAAGATCAGTTCCTGCAGAAGTTGGTGTTGTTACATTACCACAGTTTCTTTGGTTTTGGGGAATGGTTTTTCTTGTGACAACAACTCTAGTAGCTATTTTCAAAAAAGAAAAAGATTCAACCCAGGGAAATGAAGAGCTCAATGTTTTTGAGACATACTACACCTTGCTAAAAATAATTAAGCTTCCTGCAGTTATTCAGTTTGTGATTGTTCTATTGACAGTAAGGGTAAGATTTTGAGCATTTTTTGACTTCTTTTTTGCCTTAACTGTTTCAATCTTATGTTTTAGCACCACAGCTAGATGACATCTTGCAGTAAGGACCATTAAAAACTAGCGTTTTGACTACAATATTGGTTATTGTTAATCACCAAGCACTTTAATAAATGGAATTTTATATACACTATGTACATCTGCTGGATTTTAAACAGCCATTTTTGGTTATGTGTACAGTTGAATCAACAGTCTTCCATAGATATGACATCAACAAGCTGTCTGAGCTAAGTGGCCGAAAATCCTAAAGTCTACAATGTGTATTTACTTTTCTTCTGCATCTGATATTTTGTTGCCAGCTTATAAAAATAATTAAATATAATAACAAGTTTTTTAATAATTAGATATGTAAATAAAGTATTTAAAAAACCCACCTCTGGCTAAAAGTTTAAGGATTTTATGCATTTTAAACAGATAGGATTTGCTGCTACAGATTCTGTCACTGGCCTGAAACTGATTGAAGCTGGTGTTGCAAAAGAAACTCTCGCAATGTTGGCAGTTCCTCTTGTTCCTATACAAATTTTTCTTCCTCTTTTAATCAGCAAATATACAGCAGGTATGATCCTTAAATGTTGTAAATGTACTTGAGGTCCTGGAGTAGATATTTAATATCATTGTATAAATATACCAGTGAGAGTCCTTCCAGATGGAAATACACTTTTCATAGTATCAATTCACTTTATGAAGCAAATTAGTTTTAAGTTGGTTAGTTACCTTATTCTTCTTTATTCTTCACTTTTGAAGTTCTTAGAAAACAACATAAAATGGCAAGTTTAATTTTTATCACCAATTATTAACTTGTTTACATATTTATTTTTGTTTGGAACTCTGGTTTTACTAATCTCTCATTCTGTTTTATCATAATTGTAATCAAACAAGCATATATTGTTATTGATTACTAGCTAAGGATGGGATGAACCTAAGTGCCCAAATGTTCTTCTATTTACTAAGTCATGTCTTAATTGCTTTCACTATATTTCTATAGCTTTGACATGGCATAAAATAGCGGAAACATAGCATATTGATGTACTTTTCATCAGGCATTCAGAATATAATATGTCAGATAATGATTGAAAGTAAGCTAAAAAATTTGTATCCAGGTGTGGATCGAAAGTAAGGTGAAAAGATTTGATTGGTTCTCTGTTTTTTACTAATCAGCTACTGCTAACATTTCACCTAGTTGAAGCGTCCAGGAGAAAAAAGGAACTCTTTCTATTGATATAAGTCTGAATCTTTTGTTTTTACGTAAACAGATTCCAGAACTCCTAAATGAAAAGACGACCTTGCTTGCCAAAAAGTCAATTTTGAAAATTGTTGTCACTAAATGCTATATGTTACCGCTATTTCTTGCTATCTTCAAATTCTGTGTTATTCCCATAGTTATGTTTCAATTGTTTAGGTCTAACATTTAGAACTCAATTGATCAAAGGCTGATTTTTCTTTGATTATCTGGTTTTTTTATCACTGTTTCTAATCACAATCAAGATCTCATCATGCCAATCTGCTCAACAAATTTGAAAGTATTCAATATTACGTTGATACCTACAATTAATCATTAGAATGCTTTCTTTTTAAGCAGATTGATTTTTTCTGTTTTTCGACTTTTCAGAATTCCAGACATTCCAGACATTTCAGACATTTCAACATTTATGTCATTTTCTAAAGTTGATTCTGATTTTTTATTTTGTTGGTAATATTATTTGCAGTCTATTGCCATCAAGTATAGAGTACCGAAGTGTGACGTCATCATAAATCTGTTTTTAGAATTTCTTAAATTTGACCACATAATCTGAAAGAACGGCATAAAATGCCTCTCAATGTGCAAAATCAGTTAGATATACTCAAAATTAGGCGAGATATGGCCAATGGAAGGTTTAAAGTTTGCTAACAGATTACTATTTTTCTGGCCTGGTTCATAAAGTTATGAACCAAGACCAAATTACAGAGGTTTGATGGGGCAAGATTCTGTGCTCATGTGGCCATATCTCAGCCAATTTGTAATATCTTTAACTGATTTTGCAGATTTAGAGGTATTTCGTGATATGCTTCCAGGTTATGGAAACAAATTGCAAAAATTCTTAAAATAGATTTTTATGATGTCATCACTTCTGTACTCTATATCAAGTCAACTCATTGTTGTTCCTAAATTCAACATTTGCATTTTGCATAAAAATAATATGCAACTGAATGCTTTGCAATGAAGCTTGTGAATGTGGTGCTTGCTTTTCAGGTCCACGCCCCCTTGATGCATACAAAAAAGCAATACCTTTTAGATTGGCTTTTGGCATCATGTTTGCTCTACTGGTCCAGTGGACTCGTAATGTCCGTGATCCGGGTGTTGAATCTTTCCCAATCTACTATTACATAGTTATTTTATCAGCATATGGACTACATCAGGTATGTTTAGGCCATAAAACATTAATTTTGTTGTGTAATTTACTTAAAAAATCTTTCAATATTTTAACAAAACATCTTATTTTATATGTGATAAATTTTGTAAATAAATTCCATTTACTTTTGACAGATTATGAACACGCAATTAATTCAAGAATAACTAATTTGTCTTGAATGGAATACTAAAAAATAACTTGACTGAACTGTAAAAGAAATCTGGACCAGATCATAATACTTTCTCTTTCTTTGAAAATCATACAATCACTATATCTTGATAAATAGCAAGGGTTTTATAGGGGTAAGGGTATGGGGGACAACCATCCATATATATTGTATTTATCAGGAAATGCAATTTAAATAAGGAACCATTTTCTTGATATAACTGACATAATGCTATATAAAAGAGGACTGAAGATAAAATTTTGTCACAATCTACAACTTCCCTCACACCAATTCACTGCACCCATGTGAATAAGACTAAGTGGATTGATTAGAAAAGCAAACATGTTCTACATCAAGTAAAGTAAATAGACCAATAAAGAATCTCAAAGATTTGACAAGTTATGATTCACATTGAATATATTTAGCAGATAATATATCAGATATCAGGTATATTTGATGAGAAGTATTGTTTATTGAAGAAGTATCATTAAATAAAGTTATGAAACTTTGAAAACTTAATACTATTATTATGCAGTCTACTTATATGACATCCCATAACGTTTTAGATTTCATTATACACCATGTTTGTCAGTGGCATGGCATTCCATGCAAAAATAAGTGATCCACTGATTGGAGGGACATACATGACGTTGTTAAACACGGTCTCAAACCTCGGTGGAGTGTGGCCCTCCTCTTTATCACTGTGGGCTGTTGATGGTTTAACATGGAAAACATGTACTGGTGTTGCTGGTAATATCCCATGTAATACTGCAGACGAGAACAAGGTACAAATTGATTTGTTAATAAGAGCCTTTCATGATGCCCATCTCTTAACACATATCTATGTAGTCTGTAACTCTATGAATTTAAGGTTGTAACTCTCAGGTTAAGTACAAACTTTTAAACTACCTTATACCAGGTATTTACTGTCATGCAGTGTATCACAAGCAGGCCTTGCAAGGAGAGGCATTCTGTGAGCTTATTGATCAAGCACCTATCATGTTTATGCTGTCTAACAACTAAATGGGAAAAACCAAATTTTGTTATTGATGATATTTTATGATGCTCAATCGAGCACCTAGAAAGTTGAAGGTACCAGTTTTTGAAGCACCTGCTTTTTGCACGTCACAAGGTCTGATCAATGCTTTCCTTATTTCTAATAATCTGATGGGTGTTATTCAAAAATTTTTTTAAGACTTTATACTTTCTCACATGAACCATTTTTATTACAATTTGATCATTTATTAAAGAAAGCACTTGAACAAAATTTAACTTTCCTTAAAAATTTTTAAGTTTGATTATAGCAGTGAATTGAAATCAGGAAAAAATATTGCTAATCCAAAATAATTTTTTGTCCTAAAACTCTTTTACTTAAATAAGCAAAGGAATTCTTATGATAACATTTATCTGCTAATTCGTGAATATGCAAGGTTTAAATACCATACAATTCATACAATGAATGTATTTAGAGAGTTGGAATGACAAATGATAAATTCATGTGTTCATTGATTAAAAATCCTTTTCATTATTTTAGAATTTATTATATTGTTTCATATAATACATTTTACAGTTTATAAGGAGATGCTGTCTTCATCTTTTAGATCTGCATGGATAATGGTGGAGTTTGTAGTATATCAATTGATGGATACTATATTGAAACTGGGATTTGTGTTGTCCTTGGTATATTGTGGCTACTTTGGAAAAGAAAAACCCTTGTTAATCTACAGAATTTGAAAGAAGATGCTTGGAAGGTATCAAATAATGCAAAAAAGAGCAAAACATGACGACTTCACTTCTTAGACACAAATAAATTATGCCAAAAATGTTTATTTTTCAATGATATCATTTTGAAGTTTTATTTATTCGACTGCAAGATGCTTAGTTAGTTTGAATAAAAGTTCCTCTGTTGGTTGAAAATCATTTTTTTATATATTTTCTACAAGGGTAGCAGATCCTAGTCAGGATTCCGTTCTAATAATGCCGTGGAATTTTTGAAGCAAATGAATTAGGTCTGAGTGTATTTGTATGCATTTGCTCCTTTGAACACAATTTGAAACATATGTTCCAAAACAAGTATTTATGAAACAATACATGAGTGCTTAGAATTTAAAAGATGTTCACGTAAAAGGAGCATTGAATTTTGATTTTTCTTTATTCATTTTCCCAAACAAATACATATCTGCATTGATATAGACAATGTCCTTGTTTCAATTGGATGTTTGATTGTCAACAACTACAACCAGTAACATTTAATTGATAAATATATCAACATCATAGATGCAGAAAAGTGGCAAAAAATCAAAATTACCAATAGCAATCACAATGATCCATTTGCAAGGTCATTTTCCAAGTTTGCTTTTGAGCCTGTCTGACATCCTGGGCAGGTGTGCAAAGTTTCATGAATAAATAGATCACAGTCCATGCAGAATATTTGCTCACAATTGGAACATTCATAAACCTGTAATAAAGCAAATTGCTTATGACAAAAATATTAAGCTATGTTTACCGCTATAATGACAACATATATAGTAATGTACTGAAATGATGACATCACAAAAATATGTTTCTAGAATTTTTCAATTTTGACCATATATCACAAAAGAGCATTATGTGATACCTCTAATTGTTAGAATCAGTTTTGGTGTTACAAATTGGCTGAGATATGGCCACATAAGAACAGGCTCTTTCCCCATTAAACCTTTTGTAATTAAATCCTTGTTCGTAACTTTGTGAACCAGGCCAGCATAACAGTTATCTGTTAGCAAACCTGAAATTTATCATGGGCCATATCTCACCCAATTTTAAATATATCTAACTGATTCTGCATGTTAAGAGGTATTTAATGCCATACTTTCAGATAATGTGGTCAAACTTAAGAAATTCTGAAAATAAATTTTTGATGACGTCACACTTCGGTACTTGCTAAGCATCAGACTTGAAAACGAAAACAAAACGAAAGCTGTCGCGTATTCAGAGTGCGTCCATCTTTTCTTTAGACAACACCCTTAAGCTTTTGGAATCTACTCAAGAACGCAATAAAAAATAGGGCAGGTTTAGATGTGGTACTTATGTTTTGTGCTCTTCAAAACGGCGCTATATTGATGGTTGTATAATTCCCTCTAAAATCGTCATAAGGCTTAACTTATACCATACTAATATAATTTTGCTAAAACCATTATCTATATAAAAAAGACTTTCAATACAAATCCAAAATTTAGAATAAAAATACCGTAGACCAGGCTGGAAAACTTGCATATGCTCGCACCTCGCACCTCTAGTGACCCAAAATATCAAGAAATTCATATATCATACTATAATTCAATGTCTATATGGGCATCGTTGCTCGCAGCTCAAATGCTTCCGCTCGCAGGTCGCAGCTGATAATGTGCCGTTGGTCGCATTGACACGTCTGCATAATCATACATGTTTTTCAACCTGGACCGTAGAGCGAGTGGGAAAATTTTTGCAGCCAGGGCAAGATCAAAAAAATTGTGCTAAGTTACAAGCATAAATAAAATATGATTCAAAATATGTTTTGTGAACGAATATTCTTCAGTCAATGAAGAACCAACCCCCGGTTATTTTGATAATTGTACAATTTTGTGAAATGCCTATAGAGATATTTGTGAAATGCAAAACAACTTAGATAACATTTTAGAGGAAAAACTTTCTGCAAGAAAACAAAATATTGGTCACATTTGCTGTTTTATGGTAAATTTCCATCCACAATAAGGCACACTTTGATGGACTTTTGAATCAAATGCATCGCGCAAAGAGTTGATCAATCAGTATTAAAGAAAGACTGACTCAAAATTGCGATTTGCTGATAATTTTTTTGTATTTGTTTTATCAGGATTTGCTATAGAAAATTTTGCCCCGAAAAATCCTAAATTCTTTAAAATAATCTTTCAAGGCATCTATCTTAGTTGATACAACTAAGTAAAGGACAAAGGTATACAAATCAAAATAAACATTATCCCCACTAAATTCCAAAACCTCCACAGTCAATTAAAAGAAAGTGTCATTAAAATACTTTTTTACTTACTGTTGCATCAGTATGAAATCTTTGGCAGCCTTTACAATTTCTAAAAATTGAAAAGAAAAAGAACACCATAGCCACGTGGACGTCAACCATTACCTGATTACAATATTAACGATAGAATTCACAGTCTTCGTAATCTATTAATTTATCTAGCTTTCCCCTTTGCACTAAAACTTTTCACATGCACTTTAACCCTAGTGTTGCATCAAAATACCGTAAAAGCTCTTTTAACCCCCCCCGGGGGGCTTATTTTATTTTTCAGTCCTAGAGATGGGCTTAATAGAGGGGGGGTGGTTAAAAGAAAGGGGGCCTAGATAAAGATTTTACGTTATACAAGAACAAATTTGATAGGTAAAACCAACCACACTATGCCTTTGCAAACACACTGAACGAAGTCTTCATCCGATTAGAGTGTTTGTAGATGAACTTCGCAGCTTTATAAAGAATAATTCCAGTTCATATATATATACGTATATTCCAACGAAGAGCACTTTACACTAGCTGAGGACCAATTAAGAACAAGCTGAGGACCAATTAAGAACAAGCTGAGGCTGAAGTACTGTAAATGTGATTTTGAAAAATGTTGTGAAACCTCCTTTAAATATTCCATCTCAAAAATGGGGAGTTTTTTGTCATCTAGGGATGCTTTGTCAGCGAATTTCTAAACTTTTCAGCGAATAAAGGTTGATACACTCACTGTTGGCAAATGCTGAAACTCCTCTTGAGCACAATAGCTATCGTTTGCACTGCTTCACCCAATAAATTTAAGTACAAATTAAGAACAGTCCTGCCTCAAAGTTTTGGAAAAAATAAGAACAGCAAGCCTGAACTTCAATTTACTGGTTTTCATAAAAAGGAGTGTAAATGCTATGTTTCCGCTCTTCCGTGCTATTTTCAAATTTGGCGGTGCGAGATCCTTTTTTGGATGTATACATTCATGTATACACTCTTTTTTTTATAAGAACAATTTTATAAGAACACGAGCCTCAAAACTGGTCAAAAGTTAAGAACAAATTAAGAACAAGCTGAGGCTGAGCTTCTGCAAAATGCAATTTTGAACAACGTTTTTTCTCAAAATCGAGGATTTTTAGAGATGTGTGGGTGCTTTTTCGGTGAATATTCAAATTTGTTAGTAAATTAAGGCTGTCTCGCTCACTTTGTTGGGAAATGAGGCCTGAACACCTCCTTAAAGCGAAAAGGCTAGCAATAGCACTGCTTACACCCTCTTAATTCAAGAACAAATTAAAAACAATCCAGCCTCAGATTTTCGAGAAAGTTAAGAACAGTCAGCCTGAACTTAAATTTACTGGTTCTTATAAAAAAAAGAGTGTATAGAATATTCGTTCATATTATGAAATCATAGAATCACAAACCCTAAATTTTGTATTGCCTTAGCTTCGAGCTCTTTGAACGCTCTTAATGGAAACAGATGTTGATAAGACTTTGCCAGATGTGGAGCAGACACTAACGTTAGGCCTAAAAAATGAAGAAGATACTGATGTAATGAAAGTAACGAGAAATGGTAAAAATTTTTTTTATCCAAACTCGACAGCTACATCCTGTTTTTATTTGAAAAAGTCTCAAATGTAAAGTAGGAAAGAACTTAAAAAGAGAAGACATTACAGGCACCGCGGAGCGTTGAGAAAAGTGGGGGGGGGAGGCTAAAACCGTATAAAAAGAGACTTTTCTGGTAGTTTGATACTTAATATTTGGCATTTTTTGCAAAAAGTGGGGGCTAAAGCCCCCCAGCCCCCCTGCTCCGCGGTGCCTGCATTAAAGGAATAAGCACACAAAAAGAGGACTTTCCTGGGTATCCATTTGACTCAGCCGAGGATGTACAGACAGGAAGGTTCAGGGGTTTGAACCCTCCCTTTTAATCCAATACTAACCCTTAATCAATTCTTCCCATGTAGAATATTGTTGAGAGCGCCAACCTTGCCCTTTTATTAGCACTAAACCTATAATCTCAATAATAAAAAACTGAGTCAAATAATTTTTATCTTGATTTTACCTAAAACGCATCATGGTACTCTCCGAAGGTCGTACAACTTCTTTGAATACATCACTATTTCTGCATCAAACAAAGCGTTTTGTTTAGGGGTACCAGGGGACCACCTGATTTGTCAACTTCCACTGTTTGCTGTTTGTATGAAACTTTACATTTAGAGGCGAAGCAAGAACAATCTCAAAGGGGGTAAAACTTCAACAAATTTGCCAAAGAAATGGGTGTAACTTGGATGTGGACAACGAAATATTTAAAATCCTTCAACCTAGAAGCCAGGAAGCTTTCATGAATTAAGACACGTCTTCCAGAATAATTAAAAAATGGGTTTCATTAGGACCTTGAAATGATACTCATCGAAAGTTGGTTTGTCGTCGGTTTAAAATTTAAATGGCATAAAATTCCCAAAAATAGGGACATCTCATACGATGATCATTAACTCCATCGAAGAAGTGATTATGTTTCCATTTTGACCCCTAACTTTAGGCCAAATTGTCCGTAAATTTCACTAAGCGATCGACAAGAGTCTCACAAATTTTTAAATCGAAAATGTCCTTTCTCCTTTCCAAATGGTAACTGAATAGGTTTCCCCGAATAGGTTTCTCGTCAGACAAATCCTAGTTTGTGTTTGATTTTTGCTTTGTTTGTTTTTTGTGATATCATTTTAAATCGAATATAGTTTAAAGTTACAATACAGTAACTTGTCTTATTCGATTACTTAAAAAATATACAAATAAAATTAACAATTTTCAACAGTTTTTAAATACAAATTAACAATAAAATCATTAAGTTTACCATACATTGATGGACAGGTTGCCCCGTCCCATGTTTTCGGTTCTTGGGTCTCTTTTGAGGCGACAACCTCTGAAATGTATGACTGGAATGCCACGTTCCAACACTCCTGATATTCGATGGGAAATATTTGAATTTCCTCAAGGTATTTTTAGTTTGTGTATATATTATGTATCATGTCTCTGATGAGTATCTTATTAATTTTGGAACAGTTTACATTGCAGTAGTATTCGATACTTTGATATTTTCCTTTATAAATCGACCTTTCTTTTCTTAATGTTTAATTGAATTCTCATAGCTTTTGTACATGTCTTAGTGGATCAATTGTGACGTAATTTTCCTGGGTGAATTCCTGGTTATTTGGACAAGGCCCCCGATTACGTTGACAGGGGGCCAGGGGGTCATGCCCCCTCTCTCGTTTCTGCAAAATTCTGTAGTTTTGCCCTTGCCCCTCCTCTACATCCAAACTTTGCAACTGCAGTCAGAGCCCCTGGTGGATGTTTCATGTTTTCGTTCTCCCTCTGTTTCATTTTTAGTTAAATTCAACTGAGTTTTTATTGGAAATTAAATGTTATATTCTGTTTACTACTTTTCGCTGTTATTGATACAATTTCAAAATGTATTTTCTCTCCACTGAAACTTCATTCATTCTGAGCTTGCATCGAGCTTGACGCTTCGCGAACCCCTATAACCGCGACCCACCGATAGCTCAGTTGGTAGAGCGGAGGACTGTAGAGTCAATTCAACCATGATATCCTTAGGTCGCTGGTTCGAATCCGGCTCGGTGGACACTTTTTCCATCGTCAATTTATTCTTTTCCTTATTTGGAACAGTTTGTTTGCGTAAAAGTTATATTTCGCAGCATGAAGCATTTAGATTAAATTCAAATCATCCAATAAAATACTGGAGAGCCTATGGAATAGTCTAAATCATTTCAAAATAAAAACTATCCCATTTTTCGACACCATGGTGGTTTTTAAAAGGGTAATTCTGTCATCTGAGAACTTAAGCCACTTTTAATAATCGATACAGTTTATCATAATAATTTAGTTTAAAGTATCAAGGAATATGTCACGCTTGGTTGTTACTATGAACGGTGAGAACTCGACAGAACTTGATATTAATTATGGTGTTTTAACTTTGAATGTTTAACTTTGTTTTAAATTTGTATTTTAAGTTTGAATATTTGGTATATTGTAATTAATATTTGTTTTTGATGATAAAATATTTTGAGTTTGAGTGTTTCTTAAGGTAGCGTACTGGGTCCCTTTCTTTTCTTGCTCTAAAGTACTAATATATCTAGATATATAAAGGAATATTAATATAAATCTTTATACAAGTATATAACCTAAAAAAAATGAAGAAATGTTGAAACGAGATCTTTACTAAATACCTAGGCGTATTAATTGATGATAAACATAATAAGCAAACCACTTTTTAAACTCCTTTATTAATCCATGATATCACAAAAAGAAAACTACCATCACCATCTAGTGTAATAATATGGAACGATACTCCAAAAAATATTGACTGCCCCTTCTTAAAATATTTTTGGAAAACGTGTCAAGCAAATGCTAATGAAGCGTTACTAGCTTATCCCAGGACCGCCGAGAGGGGTAAAGGGGGCGAATTGCCCCCAGGGCCTCAAGGTCTAGGGGGCCTCACCAAGTAATGAATTCCATGTCAAGAATTAAATTGATCAAGCGTAGCGAAAGTATGCCTAAAAATATGATATGATATGATATGACATGACATGACATGACATGACATGACATGACATGACATGACATGACATGACATGACATGACATGACATGACATGACATGACATGACATGACATAATATGATATGATATGATATGATTGATATGATATGACATGACATGACATGACATGACATGACATGACATGACATGACATGACATAATATGATATGATATGATTGATATGATATGACATGACATGACATGACATGACATGACATGATATGATATGATATGATTGATATGATATGACATGACATGACATGACATGACATGACATGACATGACATGACATGACATGATATGATATGATTGATATGATATGACATGACATGACATGACATGACATGACATATGAGCCCCCGTAGCGCCCTGACAAACGGTTTCTCACCACATATTCTACACTCCATTGGCAGCTCACAATACTTGCTTTGACACTAAAAACAGAGAAAACAAAAATACATGCTAGATAACGTAATGAAATATAAAGTAACGGAAAACATCATAACTTTATAAACTGAATCCATTTCTTAGTTTTTGACAAGCTGTACCTCTATTTTTGTATGGTTTCAAACAAACCCTTACATCCGCCATGTTCATGCAAACCCTTTAATCTAGAAACCTATTCCTCAAAGTTTGGGTCTGCAAGTAGGACTTGAATCTGAAATCATTCTAATACCTAAAAGTTGTCGAAATTGTGAACTTGAAAAACTTCCCGTGAAGCCCTCCCTTCATTATTTCCATCTAAAAAAGTCAGTCCTTTTATCATATCTTTGCTATGTCTTTGTTACTGCCTGACCTAAGCTATAATGTTATAAAATGAACTGGTAAGAAAAGACGCATGAAAAGATTTGACAGTAATAAATCGATATTAATGGATTCAAATCGATATGAAATGTCCGATCCTTTGAACTTCAAACCGTCAACTCGAAGTTTCGAAGCAAAAATCGGTTTGTGTGCGGTTCTAAAAGAACTTTGTAGTTAGAAATTGTAGAGCCGTGAGTTTTACACAAAGGATATATATCAAAAGTAAATGGGTGGATTGACTTACCTGTGGACAAAAGTATCCGGTTGTGCTCAAGGAGCATTCGGACTGATTGTCAATATGGCTGCAATAAGAAAGGGGGGGGGGGGTTAAAACTACAGGTCAAAGAACATATGACAATTAACAAGATAATGAAGAATGCAAGAGTTGGAGGATATAAATTTCCCTGAGGTGGCTACAAAATGTGAAACTCCAAAGCCTAAACATATGCCACACATCATTCGATACTGTTTGAGAATTTTAGAGCGTTAAAGAGTATGTTTGAACACCCTGTCGCGCGATATTCGTGTTGAGTCAATAGTCGAGCGTAGTGTTGCATATGGATAAACAGGGCTTTATTTCGACGAAACTCTAATGTGGCATTAACCATGTTGCTAGTTACCACTGATATCAAAGTGCTCTGAATAATATTACATGGCATGATATTTATTACTACATGGCATGATATTTAATATTACATGGCCATTTTGTTTAATTGTAGCTCTGTCATACAAAATTCGCTATTGACTTACCAAGAGCAAAGTGAAAGTGGACCATCCGACCTGTGTGTGGGAAAACCTAGAAAACAGGATTTACTTTAAGTTTATCTTTGAAAATTGTGTAGAAATGAGCTTTCTGAGCATTATTTTTACCATGACCTGGCTTATCCAAGTCGCAAACTTTGATCAGAAAAACCCACTTTACTATCGAGTCAATATGGACAAAACAGATGCAAACCATTAAATATGATTTTTGACTTGATTGGAAAATTTCATTAAGCCACTGTGACTCTTTTTGGTTCTTTAGAAATAAATTAAAAGCAAGATGACCAAAATTAATTATTGAAAGATGCACCTACCGGGAGGCATTAATCTGATCAATATTAGGAAGATTGGACATATAATTTGACTTAACTGGATAAAATCAGCCATATGACTGGATAATATCAGCCATATAACTGGATAATATCAGCCATATAACTGGATAATATCAGCCATATAACTGGATAATATCAGCCATATAACTAGCATTTATCAGCCATACAACTGGATAATACCAGCCATATAACTAGATAAAATGATGCACTCGTGAAAAGGGTATATTTTCCTTTTCAAAGAAACAAAATACACTATCAACATATGCAATATTTGAGATGATAATTATTAGAAAATGACTTTGAGCTACAGAAAAAGTTTTGGGTTGGTTAGTCGCAAACAAAGCCAATAAAAAGCGAAAATAACTGTGGTGAAAAAACTTCTTCTCAAAATTTTTTTTCAACAATTCTTTTCAAATTTTGTTTCATTCCTGTCGATTTCAGTTACAATCAAAAGACATTAATAGGATCATATTATCGACAAACAAACACCAGGCAAGTTACACAACGAGTTCATTATGGCTGGAACTGTATTATGCACAAATTTAAACTATAAATAATTATACCATGTTAACATAAATTGTGAGACAAAGGTTAGGCCAACAATGTTAACTTAACCAGTATTAGAAACTTACGAAAAGTGATCTGAGAGTTTACAATTAAGTAAGAATAAAGCATAAACATGAATGTAAAACCACATACCCATTCTTATTAAGGAAGCTGCAGTACTTTTCTACAATGCAAAGTAGTTCAAATTTAGGAAAAACATTTAGAAAATTTCAAGTTTTTTCTACAAAAATAGTGTGGCAATCTCTTTCTTATCAAATTAAATGAACGGGTGATTTAATTTAGCATTTTCAATTATCGTTTTCTTCAATCTGCCCTGCTACTGTACTATAAGCACATGTTGAAACACAAAAATGATCCCAGATGAAATTTTAGTGAAAACCAGTGTAAAAACCACAAAAAGTATTATGACAACAAGATGGCTAATCTATCAAGGTAAGTAGGGATTTTCAAGATTTCGCACAGCTATCCTCATCTCAAAACCTCTGCCGACAGAATTGAGCAAAAAATAATAATATTAGAAAGTTTAGCAATGGCTTAGCAAGGTGTTAAGACACTGCTTCCAGACGAAGATTTATATAAGATCTTCTGTGCCTTCAGTTAAACAAATCTTTATTGACAAAAATACAAAATAACCTTGGCCTCTGGTGGACGAACTTTCTCCACAAGAAGATCTTGAAAATGCTTTTCATCAAGAATAACTCCATATTCGCCTGTGCAAGATAACATTGTTCATATCATCAATAAAATTAAAAACATATTAAGTTCATCTTCTAGCTTTTTGATGGAAAACACTGAAAGATAACCTTTGCGCCATAATAAATATCAACAGGTTGCATAATCATGTAACAAGAAGAAATATATAATTCCAAAACTGGCCTTTTATCGATTAGCAGCAATTGATAAGCCATTATCAGTGAATATGCGTCGGAGATTACTTTCATTTAGTATATATTCTCGTACGGAAACGAGAAAATTTCTTTGTTAACCTACAGATCGCCACAAAAGTAAGCAAGAAAAAATGGATTAAGAAACTCTTTACCCAATAGCATTACGGCCATTTTTGTTGTTGCTGTTTGATATAAACGAATTAATGTTGATAAATCTAGTTAAAATTAGCTACTTTCTAATAAGGCTTCTTACCATAACTTTCAAAATTCCATATTTTCAAAGATAACGTTTATCTTAATTTGGATGACGTATCGATAAAACAACAGTAAACAGCTCAGGGCTGTTTCTAAATTGAACAGTGAGAGAGAGAGAGAGAGAGAGAGAGAGAGAGAGAGAGAGAGAGAGAGAGAGAGAGAGAGAGAGAGAGAGAGAGAGAGAG